CTTACTTATTCTCTCCTCTTTGTCCTCTCCAAAGTGGCGTCTGCATGTCTGACTCTTGCCAGTTACTGATTTGCAGCCAGTGGATGTTAAGGTGGGCCCGTGTAAGTGATTTCCACGGCCGTCCCACTAAAGGAGAACAAATCGCTGACAAAGGAGAGCCGTTCCTTTTCAGCTGCGTCGTTAGGACAACCAAAAAGTATTCGTCAGATAATAAGTTGCACTTCAAAGCGTTTCTCACTGAAGGGTGACTGCTTCACTCCTTTTCAACCCCCCCACCCCCCAGCTTCCCCTTTTCTGCACTGAACTGCCTCTGGTGTATTTTTCATCTTGTTGATTTTTGTCACCAAACAAGAAGAGGTTCCTTATTGTGGGGACCCTTACAAAAAAAAAAAAAATCATATATATATATATATATATATGGTTTAGATTTTTTTCAAGGCATTTTTGATCTCAACCTCAGAACCTTAGAGCAGTAAAAGTACTCATTGTCATGTTCAAGACCTGTAAAAAATTACAAGTTGACAAACCAGTTCTGCACATTATTTTGCCCAAATTCAATATTTAATATCTCCTTAAACCATACATTTGTGAGTAAGCTTTAAGAGCCACTGCCAGCTGTTTGTTTACCTCTGAAAAAAAGCAGAAGCTCAACTGTATTTGGGATTGAGAAGTTTGACCAGTTTGATGCACTGGTGCATATTTCTATTTTGATTTGCTCGTACTTTTGTGTAGTTTGCAGGTAGAAGGGCTTTGTTTATGTTCAGTGTGGACCTGCATTGCATCGGTTTGGAAAAGACTTTCAAGCAGCTCCTTTTGTTAAACTTCAGCGTGAACTTTTTACTGTTTGCTTTCTTTAAAATTGCAATCCAAGCTGAACGACATGCATCAAAATCTCCCTCATGGGGGGTGGGGGGGGGTGGGGTCCTTTAGACCAAATACTTCTGAAAATGTCCCCAAATCTCAGTGTGTTAATGAAGATGAGATTCAAGCAGAAGTGTTTTCCTTTTTTTTTGTTTCCTCGCGGTGCGTACGTGTCCTCTACCTGTCAGCAGAGTGCACTGACATCTCTTCTCTTTGATTTGTGTGTCACTTGTGCGACCAGACATTCAAACGAACCCAAAATCTCTAACTCACCATGAAGACTGTCAAAGCGGGCCAGCCTTCCTCTCATGACGCCCGCAGCCTTTGAAGTGAAGAACAGAACAATTTTAATTCTATAGACTGGACAGCTTTGAAAGTGAGATTCTGCGTTTTAATGGAGGAAATAAGAGGAGGGGGGGGGGGGTTCTTCCTTTTCTTCCTGATACACTCCATACAAGGCTTTGCTTATTGTCAGATATCTTTTTATCTTTTATTTTTCCCATGAATGATTCATGCCTCGGCCGCTTTGTGTTTAGTCGCAGCTTTTCAGAGGTTGGAGCCATCGGGGGGCTAGAAGTTTCCTCATTAGCTTCGTGATTAGTTTTGCATTGAACCAGTCGTCTTTGGGCCGTGTTGTATATATGGGCCTGTTTATGGGAACACTGGAAGTCTGATAGAAATGTCAGGGATGAAGAACACATGAAGTTTCTCATTAAAGGCCATGTGGAGGATTTGTTGACTCAGAATCAAACTGAAGGCAGTTTCAACAGGACGGGTGCAACCTCCTAACAGATACATACAAAAAAGTCTAAATCCGAACATCAAAACAGACCCTCACATGATTGATATTCACTTAACTTAAACCAAAACCAGTTGAAATCATTTCTGACATTTTTTTATTAAATTTTAGCATGACTTGAAGGTTGTAAAGGAAATTTTGAACATCAAGTTGATTACCTCTGGCTTTGCTTTTCTTTTTTTAATCCATCATGTCCAGTGACACCATGCACCTCCAAATAAAACAGACCACTATGAAGGCATGCGAGAAAAAAACAACTCTTCACATTACACAGCCTATATATTCAAGTAGATGATTTTTTTTTCTTCTTCTCACAGAGCACAAATAAAAATAAACCCAAAGTGTTAAAATATATTTTTTAAAGAAACATCAGCAGGGCTCTACACACATCACCAAAACTCATATTATTATAATTATTATTATTCTTTGGTGTTTTCCATGACAACACTGATTCCAGCAAAAATAAATTACAATGTACAAAACAAATTCCTCTGGGAAAATAAAAAAAATTATATAAAAAAAAATACTACACAAGATTCACAAGCATCAGTACAATTACACATATGTACAAGAGTCCAGGTGGAGACATTTAGTGTCTCGGGGGACTTCAACAAGCAGTACACTTGTGTATTTTTCTTTTTTTTTTTTTTTTGCATAAAATACAGTCTTAAATAGTTCAAATATTTAAAAAAATTCCACCCAAACCTGTTTTAAAAATCTGTAAAATGACAAGACACTTGAATATTTAGTGTCTCCTTGTTGAATTGTTGCATCACTGCACCTCAAAGAAAACACGTTGTTTTTAAAGGCCTCTTTTAGATTTAACTGCTTGTTGCCACTTGTTAGGTCACAAGTGCCCCCCCCCCCC